ATATAAGTGACTAATTTTATTTTTATTAAACAACAATCAAAATTCTTTATTAATTCGGTTTGCGTGCCTATCATGTACATAAGCTGCATTGTCAAACATTTGAAATACATATTTCAGTTCGCAGCAAATATTAATAGATGGCGATACACTGGACATAACTTGAGATTAATTTTAATTATTCATTTATCGAAAAGAGAAACATCGAATAAATCGGGTCATCAAATAAACTAGAAATAATGTTACATCTCTTTAATTTTAATTGTTTATATTAATGTACATATATGCACATCTTTATGAATAACACGTGTAATATTAACAAACGCCTAACATACATACAATGTATTTGTTAAAAATGTTTGATTTTTAAACCCTTCCTTTTTATTTAAACATTTTCAAAAGTTTTAAGAAATACTTTAAAGTATTACTTAGGTCTTTGCAGTTTGAGTTTGTTAGCCCGTGTGTTAGGCAAAGAGCTTCCGAAATATTAAAAGATTAAGATAAAAGAATTATAAAAAAAGTTTACACTCTACTGTGTTGTGTATAATATAATTACAAGAAGCACGTTTTATTAGAGGTACTCTTAGTTTCGTCATGATAATAACGAGGCTATAACTTAAAATTTTCAAAAACTATTCTATTTCTCTGTTTCCTCTCTATTCATTCCAATTTGAAATTTTGCAAGGCATATTATAAAACGGCTTATAAAATGTTTCCTGGTATATTCAAATAACTCATCTCTACCATTTGTACTGAACTAATCATTTCTATTTATTATTTCTTGTTATGGTGGTCATTGCTACATATCAGCCTTTTTATTTTGAAATGGTCAGTTTTTCTGAATCATTTTTGTAAAGGTTCTGTAGACACGAAAAGCATAAAAAGATTATTACAGTACCTAATTTTTTTCTAATTTATTTCTCCGTCGATGACTCTACATTTGTAATTTTGTAATTACTTTTTGCGCAAAAGAAAGTGGGCTAGCACATGGGTCAGAACCCAGAACTTTTAATGCATGAGCCTTGACCACCCCAGGTCTAGTCTCAGCTATATACGTCCCTGTATTGACTACAGTTCAACTTACCTTACCTTGTAGTCACGTCGCACAACTATAAAACAAATTAAGATATAAAAGTGATGTTATATTACATTAACACACATTTTTGTTGTTAAAATAAAACACAAATAATTTATCTTAAATATATATTTTTCTTCAAAAATTAATAACTATTTAATGTCTTTATAAATCATTTGACAACAAATTAGCAACATGCCCTAACTGTTGGTACATTTGGCTTGCACTTTTTGTGCCGGAGGATATGTGGCCCTACCCTACATATACATACATATGTAATGTACCTTTGTAGTTAACGACCTTACACTCTAATTCTAAGCCTGAAAGTTGGAGTAAAATGTATCATTCAAAATTAAAATACAACAAGTACATTTAAATTTCACATTTATCGAATCTATAATAACTGTCTTCTCCATTACATACATTCTATTAAAAGTGGTCAAAATTTCTTTCGTTAGGTACATAAGCTACTTGATCAATAGACTAGGAAAGGACATAATAATATTTATAATTTTATAAAATCGGTATTTAGCACCCAATTAACACACAGGATTGTTACAAGAACAAAGGAATTGTTTACATGTATAAATAACTCATGAGTAAAATATATAAAAATATTTCCAACAAGAAGTTTACGACTAAGGTGTTTATAAAAACTTGAAAAAACAAATCTTAAAAATAATCACCCATCAAGTGCATCAGTACTTAAATTTTTAATGTCGTCAATATTAAATTATTATTAGCTGTACCTTTAAAAAACATCACTCTCTAGTTTTTAGTTATTACACATCATCTGAAACGTTCAAGTCTCACAATAGGTTATAGTTCTATTCTAAACATTTTACTTAAAAGTTCAGACCCCTTCTTAAGTATTTATTAGGTATAGTTATAACAATTAATTGAATATAAAAAAGGATTAAAACGAGGTTGGATTATAAGTGGAAGGTATATGTACGTGTACATTCCACTAAAAGCTCATATAGAGAGTTTATACATTTTTAAAGCTCGTAACTATAAAAGTATAACAAGCTACTGTATCTTTTATTCATATATATTCAAAGATTTAGAGAGTTTAAAAGATCAGTACATTGGAAATTGAACAAACATTTTTACTGTGTATAATCTCTCTTGTGTACAGTACGGATCAAAAAAAACTTACAGAACTCTTACTGATTAGGGAATAACAATATTGTAATTTAAACTAGACTTTTGTTAGCAAGCGCAAAAGCTTGCATAAGGGACAAAAGGTTATTTTAATCAATTGTATTGCACGACATATAGAAGTACCTGTTCAAATTCCAAAGGTTTACACAATATTAGGATTACCTACTTAATGTTTTATTTTATTTAACAATATTATTATAGTAGTTTATAGAAGAGAATAAGTGACATGCAGAGTATAGTTAAAGAGATTGAGAAGAATAAAAGAGTTGGGACTTGAGAAAGTAGGTACATAGAGATGCAAACAAACTAAAATCGTGTTGAAGTTTGCAAAAATATCAAATCAACAGCTACTATTTATCAACTTAATAATATAAGTGACTAATTTTATTTTTATTAAACAACAATCAAAATTCTTTATTAATTCGGTTTGCGTGCCTATCATGTACATAAGCTGCATTGTCAAACATTTGAAATACATATTTCAGTTCGCAGCAAATATTAATAGATGGCGATACACTGGACATAACTTGAGATTAATTTTAATTATTCATTTATCGAAAAGAGAAACATCGAATAAATCGGGTCATCAAATAAACTAGAAATAATGTTACATCTCTTTAATTTTAATTGTTTATATTAATGTACATATATGCACATCTTTATGAATAACACGTGTAATATTAACAAACGCCTAACATACATACAATGTATTTGTTAAAAATGTTTGATTTTTAAACCCTTCCTTTTTATTTAAACATTTTCAAAAGTTTTAAGAAATACTTTAAAGTATTACTTAGGTCTTTGCAGTTTGAGTTTGTTAGCCCGTGTGTTAGGCAAAGAGCTTCCGAAATATTAAAAGATTAAGATAAAAGAATTATAAAAAAAGTTTACACTCTACTGTGTTGTGTATAATATAATTACAAGAAGCACGTTTTATTAGAGGTACTCTTAGTTTCGTCATGATAATAACGAGGCTATAACTTAAAATTTTCAAAAACTATTCTATTTCTCTGTTTCCTCTCTATTCATTCCAATTTGAAATTTTGCAAGGCATATTATAAAACGGCTTATAAAATGTTTCCTGGTATATTCAAATAACTCATCTCTACCATTTGTACTGAACTAATCATTTCTATTTATTATTTCTTGTTATGGTGGTCATTGCTACATATCAGCCTTTTTATTTTGAAATGGTCAGTTTTTCTGAATCATTTTTGTAAAGGTTCTGTAGACACGAAAAGCATAAAAAGATTATTACAGTACCTAATTTTTTTCTAATTTATTTCTCCGTCGATGACTCTACATTATTAATTTTATAATTAATTTCTGCGCAAAAGAAATCTATTTAAACATGAATTGTCAAAGAGAAAGAAATGGATTTTACACCCTGTAACTGAAAAGTCAAATGCATTTGTTAATATAGAAATACTGAAGATATTAAAAACTACAAAGTAATTCCGATGAAAAAAAATACTTATATGTATATTTGCACATACAACTTTTTTCTGAGGCTAATTGTCGAATTAATTGAACTCGTAAATTATCAGTGAAGAATAATTTTACCGGAAGGATTTTAGATTAAAGTTAAAAAGAAACAAGAAAAGAGTGAAATTTACGACAAGAAATAATTGAAATTTACCAACATAAAATAAATAATCCCAATCTTAACTAATATTATAAAAGGGAATGTGAATGTGTTTGTTTTGTTTATTACCCTTTCACGCCTTAACTACTCAACCGATCAACATGAAATTGTCTACGAACATTCTCAGTGGTACAGAAAAGGACATAGGATACCTTTTATCCAGAAAAAAGTACTATTCCCAAGGGATAGCAAAATTAGTTTTATGTGGTCGTCAGTGATCTTTATCACGTATTTAGGACATTAACGTGAGCGAAGTCGTGGGTAAAACCTAGTAATAATATATAATTGCTTAAATGCAAGAACTTTTCGAAAGTAACAATCAAACAATTTTTCTATTTTTTTTTTCCGGATGATTTGTATTTCTCTGGGTATACATACAACTTTTTGCTACCCGAATTACATTGCTAGAATTCCTCGGGTTGCTTTAAACNAAGAACAATTCTACAATTTTCTAGGAGAATTCGCAAGATTATTGAATCATACAAAACCGAAGCTAATATTTTGTTCAGAAATAGTTCAACTAAAACTTAAGCCGTTACGTGAAAGAGCACCTTACATTAATGAAATTATTACCTTTGGAGAAATTCCATATGAGGGAATGCTAGAGCAAATATTACTTCAAGTGACCGATAATGATATCGACAGTTTTCAACCTAAAGATGTTAATCCTTACGATACTATCGCTTTAATTTTAACATCTTCTGGAACTACAGGTCTTCCAAAAAGCGTTCTTCTTCCTCACATTTGTTCAAGACAATCATTCATTTTCATGAGGTAAGACCAAGATAACTAAGCTGAAGTTAATGAAGTCAATAGACACCTGGATTTTTCACTTTGGGCAACACGAATTGCACTTACCGTTGGAACTAATTAATATTTTAACTTTTATTTATAAATGTATCCTTTATTTTCTTTTCATTCCTTTGGGCCTTCAGTAGTAAATTTTATTTTATTTCCATTGGAAAATCTAAAACTAGGTAAACTAATCAGTGTCCTTGTTGTTTTTCCGCATTACTGGTTATCTTTTATTCTCCTGTTTACTTTTTTTATTCAATAATATTTTGTCTTCAAGAACATCTCAAATATTTTTCTCAGTATCACAGTTGATAAGTGATAAATATGGCGTTGACTTCTACAACAGTCATTGAGTACAAAAGTTGACCTTAGCATTACTGGAATAATCTCACTTTAACGTTTGCTTTACTTCTTCCATAATTAGTAGAAATCGATTCCTCGAAAACGAAGCATTCCCAATTGTTAATATGGTCTTCTGTGATGAAAATAAAGTGCTATATGGACCCAGTAGCCTTAATAAATTACCTTTAGTATCCACTGGAAAACTGTTGTTCGAAAAAATAAAAAATGCTCCAAAAAAGAAGGCAGCATTGGTAATATATTTTTTTGAGAATACTATCATAAAAGCTTAGTTATTAAAGTTGTTTTTAATATAATTCTACATTACTTGACTAATTATTAAAAAATAAGTAAATAAAACAACACTAACATGAACAAATGAAAAACTAATTTCTATTGATTCCTTACTATAGTCGGATACTAGTGAAATTTTTTGATTAGGTATATAAGAATGGATACTGGGCAATAATACAACTTATTTCAAAATCTTAGCCTAAAGGCATTCAGTTAATTTACTTGTAATGTATTATTTTATTATAATTTTATCAGTAATTGCATTTTATATACGTATTACGTAGTTCAGTTTATCATGAATCTCTTTCGTTTTTTATTAAGGGTTATCATTTTTACCGATGTGACGATTTATTAGCTTCAGTCTTTATATTAAGTTTAGTATTTTGAACAAAATATGAATTTACGATAAAAGCAACACTCAAACGTAACCTTTTTTCAGATAAATGAACCATCAGGTGTTCAAATGAATTATGAGGATTTGTTAATACAGAGCGTAAAATTGGCAAAATATTTCCAAAATGTAGGTGTACATGAAGGGGATACAATCTCGGTTATAAGTGAAAACACCACCAAATTTGTAATTCCTGTTTTGGCAGCACTTTATCAGGGTGTAGCAGTTAACTGTCTAAGTCATACGTACACAACAGGTAAAAATTGATTTTGTTTCAATTCGCTAATGGGTGTGATAATTAAGCTCTGAGTGGGACATTGGCAAGGTTTTTGTGGGGAATCATCATCATCAGGTCTTCAACCGAAGAATAGTTGAAAATATCTGCGCATTTCTCAGAAAACTTACATCTTTACTAACTACTAGGTTTTACCACCTTTTCATACCGTAATTACTTAACTGATCATAATGAAATTTTGTACAAACATTGTTAGGGGTGCAGAAAAGAACTTACGGCACCTTTAATCCAGAAAAACAATTCTATTCCCGAGAGACAGAAAAATTAATTTTTATGTGATTGTCGATAATCTTTGACACGTCTTTGGGGTATGAGTAAGAGCGAAACCTCGGGTAAAACTTATCATGAAATTTTGTACACACATTGACAGGGGTGCAGAAAAAAATATAAAGTATCTTTTATCCTGTTCCCGAGGAATAAAACGATTAGTTTTATGTAATATTAATTTCAAAATCATTTTTTCGATTTTTTATTTACACAATACAAACTACCTCAAATTAATGAGGGGAAAATTGTTGCTGTTGTCACACCCCCACCGGGAATCGAACCCGGGACCTTTGGCTTTACCCACAAATGTTCTACCACTAAACTACGAGAGGTAGAACAGTGGTGCGTAAAGCTATAGGTCCCGGGATCGATTCCCGGCGGGGCAAGCGAAACCACGGGTAAAACCTAGTGTATAGTATTGGTTATAATTTTTTTTCCACGGCGTTCACTGTCCACGTTTAATACCCTTACCGAAAGCGAAAATTTTTAAATGAAAATTATTGAGGACAGTCGAGTTCGGCAGGTACGGTCTCATTAATCCCACATTAGGTACGGTCATTACTCATTTAGAGAAGTTGTGCAACTTAATTGTTGCATCAAGTAGTAGGAATTGAACATTTCAAAATTAAATTGGAGCTTTCTTGAGTAGATAATTAAGAACAATTCTACAATTTTCTAGGAGAATTCGCAAGATTATTGAATCATACAAAACCGAAGCTAATATTTTGTTCAGAAATAGTTCAACTAAAACTTAAGCCGTTACGTGAAAGAGCACCTTACATTAATGAAATTATTACCTTTGGAGAAATTCCATATGAGGGAATGCTAGAGCAAATATTACTTCAAGTGACCGATAATGATATCGACAGCTTTCAACCTAAAGATGTTAATCCTTACGATACTATCGCTTTAATTTTAACATCTTCTGGAACTACAGGTCTTCCAAAAAGCGTTCTTCTTCCTCACATTTGTTCAAGACAATCATTCATTTTCATGAGGTAAGACCAAGATAACTAAGCTGAAGTTAATGAAGTCAATAGCCGCAAATTAAATGATAATGATGCTTCAGTTATCATTTTGTGTCACTCTTCTTTGCCTTTGTAGCGATAAAGATTATGGCCATATGAATTCAAATGATATATCATCACTTGTGGTACCTGTGACCCATCCATTTGGTTTAATATTACTCACATCTGTGTTGTATACCAACTCCACAGCCGTCATTATGGGCAAATTTCAACCAGAATGCTACTTGAATGCAATACAGAAGCATAAAATTACCAAACTTTACGTGGTACCGACTATAATGAACCTTCTTGCTAAATCCGACTTATTGGAAAATTATAACTTGGAAAGTGTCTGTGATATAGTTTGTGCAGGAGCACCACTGTCGGTCAACATATCAAAAGTTGTAAAAGAAAGGTAGACAATCGCTCCTAATGCATATGGTTCATATCGAACTAATGCCTGTTAGGAACCTTGTGTGTAATTTGTTTCTTTATCTATCGTCAGGTTCAAATTTGCCAAAGTGAGGCAAATGTACGGCCTCACCGAACTTGGCACAGGTGCTTCGATGCAGCTGTGGAACAATCAGAAAATCTTATCAAGCGTGGGTAAACTTATTCATGATTTGGAAGGTAAAATATGGGATCGAGAACGAAATGTAGCGCTGGGGCCTTATCAGAAAGGGGAACTTTTAATAAAAGGTCCTATATCAATGAAAGGATACATAGATAATAAGGAAGAAACGGATGCAGCCTTCGATGATGAGGGTTTTTTACGAACAGGAGATGCAGCTTATTATGATGATGATGGGAACATTTATATTGTTGATAGATTCAAGGAACTTATCAAATACAAAGGTTTTCAGGTAAACTATTTGAGACGCATATCATTTCTCAAAAGCTAATTAAAAGTCAATTTACTACAAAATTACGTATGATATGACCAGGGTCGGATTATCCCTCAGTGCTACCCTGGGGATCGTCAAAAATGCCGCCCCATTACTAATATTCTTCACACAATAGATGAGACACGACTAAAAATTTTGAGGGGGTGCAAGTAGGGTCCCTACGTGGGTAGGCACACTAGCTCTTGTGGGCTCCATGAGATTGCCCCCTAGGGCAAGCAAGTGGGCGTATAACGCCTTGCCGCATTTGCGCATCATCGGGAATACCGCATGTGGGCCTCGCATTTTCACGAGGAATCTACGGGGAAATCGATCCCTACGATTTCCCCGTAGATTCCTCGTGAATTTCGGCATTTTCCTCAATAGCCACATGAGGCCCGCACACTACATAGGGCATGCCTCCTATAAATTCTAGTCGGCTAGTTCAGAATTTTTTTTGACTTTCCGCAATTAAAACCACTAATTTTTCAAAATTGGGAAGTTATTGATATCAGGCCGATTCTTGAAAATCGAATATTCCTCAGATCTCAACGTTTTGAGATCATAGGTTGAAAAAACTACGTCGAATGCTATAAATTTTATCCGTTCGAGAATATTGTTAACGAAAAGTTTCGAAAACATTTTTTTTCTTTAGAAACGACATTCAAATTCATAGTTCTGGTTGATATATAGCAAAAAGGTAAACCCACAGTATACATTTGTACTTACAGGTAGCTCCTGCTGAAATAGAATCACTTCTATTAAAAAATCCAAATGTTAGGGAATGTGCAGTCGTTCCCAAACCTGATGAAAAAGCAGGAGAAGTTCCAATAGCTTTTGTAGTTAAACAAGGATCAAACGTTACCGAACGCGAACTAGTACAAGAAGTTAATGGTTAGTTGGCTAGTTCCATTACAAAAATTAACTAATAGTTTAGTTTAGTAGTAAAGTATTTAACATTCATTCCTCTTTTTAGAACAATTGTCAATAAACAAAAGACTGTATGGTGGGATTGTGTTTGTTGATGAACTACCGAAAAACAGCTTCGGAAAGATATTAAGGAATTCTTTAAAATTGCAAGCTGCTTCTTACTGTAAATAATAGACGCACTATTGTTGATCTACTAATAAATTATTTTATATTGAAAGTACCATTTTCTGTATAAGAAATAGGAATAATTATTATAATTTTGCATTAAGCAAAGCATTTTGAGTTTAAAATTTTACCTTATATGGGGTAAATTTAATATTCATGGTGGGCTAGCACATGGGTCAGAACCCAGAACTTTTAATGCATGAGCCTTGACCACCCCAGGTCTAGTCTCAGCTATATACGTCCCTGTATTGACTTCAACTTACCTTACCTTGTAGTCACGTCGCACAACTATAAAACAAATTAACATATAAAAGTGATGTTATATTACATTAACTCACATTTTTGTTGTTAAAATAAAACACAAATAATTTATCTTAAATATATATTTTTCTTCAAAAATTAATAACTATTTAATGTCTTTATAAATCATTTGACAACAAATTAGCAACATGCCCTAACTGTTGGTACATTTGGCTTGCACTTTTTGTGCCGGAGGATATGTGGCCCTACCCTACATATACATACATATGTAATGTACCTTTGTAGTTAACGACCTTACACTCTAATTCTAAGCCTGAAAGTTGGAGTAAAATGTATCATTCAAAATTAAAATACAACAAGTACATTTAAATTTCACATTTATCGAATCTATAATAACTGTCTTCTCCATTACATACATTCTATTAAAAGTGGTCAAAATTTCTTTCGTTAGGTACATAAGCTACTTGATCAATAGACTAGGAAAGGACATAATAATATTTATAATTTTATAAAATCGGTATTTAGCACCCAATTAACACACAGGATTGTTACAAGAACAAAGGAATTGTTTACATGTATAAATAACTCATGAGTAAAATATATAAAAATATTTCCAACAAGAAGTTTACGACTAAGGTGTTTATAAAAACTTGAAAAAACAAATCTTAAAAATAATCACCCATCAAGTGCATCAGTACTTAAATTTTTAATGTCGTCAATATTAAATTATTATTAGCTGTACCTTTAAAAAACATCACTCTCTAGTTTTTAGTTATTACACATCATCTGAAACGTTCAAGTCTCACAATAGGTTATAGTTCTATTCTAAACATTTTACTTAAAAGTTCAGACCCCTTCTTAAGTATTTATTAGGTATAGTTATAACAATTAATTGAATATAAAAAAGGATTAAAACGAGGTTGGATTATAAGTGGAAGGTATATGTACGTGTACATTCCACTAAAAGCTCATATAGAGAGTTTATACATTTTTAAAGCTCGTAACTATAAAAGTATAACAAGCTACTGTATCTTTTATTCATATATATTCAAAGATTTAGAGAGTTTAAAAGATCAGTACATTGGAAATTGAACAAACATTTTTACTGTGTATAATCTCTCTTGTGTACAGTACGGATCAAAAAAAACTTACAGAACTCTTACTGATTAGGGAATAACAATATTGTAATTTAAACTAGACTTTTGTTAGCAAGCGCAAAAGCTTGCATAAGGGACAAAAGGTTATTTTAATCAATTGTATTGCACGACATATAGAAGTACCTGTTCAAATTCCAAAGGTTTACACAATATTAGGATTACCTACTTAATGTTTTATTTTATTTAACAATATTATTATAGTAGTTTATAGAAGAGAATAAGTGACATGCAGAGTATAGTTAAAGAGATTGAGAAGAATAAAAGAGTTGGGACTTGAGAAAGTAGGTACATAGAGATGCAAACAAACTAAAATCGTGTTGAAGTTTGCAAAAATATCAAATCAACAGCTACTATTTATCAACTTAATAATATAAGTGACTAATTTTATTTTTATTAAACAACAATCAAAATTCTTTATTAATTCGGTTTGCGTGCCTATCATGTACATAAGCTGCATTGTCAAACATTTGAAATACATATTTCAGTTCGCAGCAAATATTAATAGATGGCGATACACTGGACATAACTTGAGATTAATTTTAATTATTCATTTATCGAAAAGAGAAACATCGAATAAATCGGGTCATCAAATAAACTAGAAATAATGTTACATCTCTTTAATTTTAATTGTTTATATTAATGTACATATATGCACATCTTTATGAATAACACGTGTAATATTAACAAACGCCTAACATACATACAATGTATTTGTTAAAAATGTTTGATTTTTAAACCCTTCCTTTTTATTTAAACATTTTCAAAAGTTTTAAGAAATACTTTAAAGTATTACTTAGGTCTTTGCAGTTTGAGTTTGTTAGCCCGTGTGTTAGGCAAAGAGCTTCCGAAATATTAAAAGATTAAGATAAAAGAATTATAAAAAAAGTTTACACTCTACTGTGTTGTGTATAATATAATTACAAGAAGCACGTTTTATTAGAGGTACTCTTAGTTTCGTCATGATAATAACGAGGCTATAACTTAAAATTTTCAAAAACTATTCTATTTCTCTGTTTCCTCTCTATTCATTCCAATTTGAAATTTTGCAAGGCATATTATAAAACGGCTTATAAAATGTTTCCTGGTATTATTCAAATAACTCATCTCTACCATTTGTACTGAACTAATCATTTCTATTTATTATTTCTTGTTATGGTGGTCATTGCTACATATCAGCCTTTTTATTTTGAAATGGTCAGTTTTTCTGAATCATTTTTGTAAAGGTTCTGTAGACACGAAAAGCATAAAAAGATTATTACAGTACCTAATTTTTTTCTAATTTATTTCTCCGTCGATGACTCTACATTATTAATTTTATAATTAATTTCTGCGCAAAAGAAATCTATTTAAACATGAATTGTCAAAGAGAAAGTAAATGGATTTTACACCCTGTAACTGAAAAGTCAAATGCATTTGTTAATATAGAAATACTGAAGATATTAAAAACTACAAAGTAATTCCGATGAAAAAAAATACTTATATGTATATTTGCACATACAACTTTTTTCTGAGGCTAATTGTCGAATTAATTGAACTCGTAAATTATCAGTGAAGAATAATTTTACCGGAAGGATTTTAGATTAAAGTTAAAAAGAAACAAGAAAAGAGTGAAATTTACGACAAGAAATAATTAAAATTTACCAACATAAAATAAATAATCCCAATCTTAACTAATATTATAAAAGGGAATGTGAATGTGTTTGTTTTGTTTATTACCCTTTCACGCCTTAACTACTCAACCGATCAACATGAAATTGTCTACGAACATTCTCAGTGGTACAGAAAAGGACATAGGATACCTTTTATCCAGAAAAAAGTACTATTCCCAAGGGATAGCAAAATTAGTTTTATGTGGTCGTCAGTGATCTTTATCACGTATTTAGGACATTAACGTGAGCGAAGTCGTGGGTAAAACCTAGTAATAATATATAATTGCTTAAATGCAAGAACTTTTCGAAAGTAACAATCAAACAATTTTTCTATTTTTTTTTTCCGGATGATTTGTATTTCTCTGGGTATACATACAACTTTTTGCTACCCGAATTACATTGCTAGAATTCCTCGGGTTGCTTTAAACGATTTTTTTTATAGTTTTATGAAAAAAAATAACAATAACTCATGAGTAAAATATATAAAAATATTTCCAACAAGAAGTTTACGACTAAGGTGTTTATAAAAACTTGAAAAAACAAATCTTAAAAATAATCACCCATCAAGTGCATCAGTACTTAAATTTTTAATGTCGTCAATATTAAATTATTATTAGCTGTACCTTTAAAAAACATCACTCTNACAAAATATGCTCAAAAGAATTTGTTAACGAGATGATTTATTTATTTTAACACGTTCCGTTAAAAAATAACAACAAATTAAAAATATAATACCTACATGTATTTACAAAAACACACTTAACCTCTTTCCTATGTATTTTGCACTAACATTAAGTGCTTAGGTGTGTGCATGGAATTAATGGGATATTGTTTAAGAATATCTTTCCTTTTAATTTTAAAAGCGGAGAGCGTTGGAATATTCAAAATTCAACAACAATCTTTTACATGGAAACTTCGTTAACATTATTTTTAATATATAAACTATCACACGCTTTGACATAAACAATTATACCGTAGTATAGCAAATTGAAATAAATATATTTTTAGTCTGCAAAACTGTAAAAAAACAAAATACTATGCCTAATCGACATAACTTTCTCATTAAGTTATATCTACATGTAATAAAATTAAGTACGACAATTATATTTACACAGTTACTTAAACGAACGAAACAACAAATAAAAACAAATGTTTTTGGTTAAATTTTTAAAACACTTACATTCTACTGAACACTGCTCGTTAGAAATATAAAAACAGAAGAGAAAAAAAAACTTAAACTGAGGCGAAATAAAAATTGCTGCACAGTAGCGGTTTTATTAGTGATGGTCCACACTGCGCGTTTTCGCCTGAGAGTCCTCGCGGTGTGATGACAACATACGCTCCTTCAAAGTAATTGAAAATAAATCTCCGATCTGGGTAGTATACAGTATTGTTATTGACATCCGATAATATCCACAATGTTAGCGAATTTTCACGTAAAACTTTTTCACTCGATTCTGTATCTCTGTAATACAATTGTAGGTATAGGTAATTTAGAATGACATGAACCATCGCCTTGGGTTGCGCATTGACAAAACCACCTGTTTAGCGATTTTTCCATTTCTACATACGCACATAAATTAATACAATTACATTTGGACGTTATATCACTTTGGCATGTATGCATAGAGGGAATAGATAGTAAGTCTAGGCGCCTTTCATTGTTGCAGTACAACCGGTCCAGTCGAAAATCTCACAATCAAGTGAAACCGGATAGTGTGGGTCAACACTTACTTTAGTTCAGCATACGTCGGCCGTTTAAACAATAAATAGTGAAGTAAATACTAAATTCTAAGCATAATTATGTGTCTAATTTCTAAGAAGAACAACAACTCCAAAAACAAGTACAACTAGGTATTATTAATTGTCAAAACAATAATTATATTTTTCTACATCGATATCAATATTATTTATAAGTCACTGGGTGGAGAAAATAACTATTATTGTAGTGATAATAAAAGTGTTTGTTTTCGTGACTATTAATTTAATTTAATAATTACATTTATTAAAAAATGAATTCAGAAATGAGTAACTTTTTATGGATACAGTTCATGCTTAATATTGCATGGACTTTTTTGTCAAAATTACCATAAATAAATGTGTGTACGTATGACAGCCCGAAGCTACATACAGTAGTGGGCCGACAAAAGTTTATTATCCTCTAATTAAAAACCGCTAGTGTGCAGACGGGAGCTTTTTTTCGCTTAAAAGCCCTTGATGATGTGATATGCTTCCAGTGTCGACATGATGAGATAAAAAACCCAGAGTGAAAACAGAAACGCCGACGTTAAATATTTCGCAACGACAGGACCACCTAATTCTCCTCCTATGAACTTCGACCTGCGTACCACCAACACCGCTATTGTAATTGCTGCTTCCGAACAAAAGATTGTCACGGAAAACGCTAAGCTGTAATAAAAGTTTACTTTTACAATATGCACTCAACTTCCTGAAAACAAACTTCTCTATACATTGCTTGACACCAAAAATTGGTATGCGTTATATCCTTGCTTGTTTTTACCACTTTGCAAGCCTTATTAAAGTTATAAGTAGGTAAATTCTAAAAATCAAGCATTTACTTTTAGTAAAAGGTAGAAGTAAAAGCTTTTGCTACAATTCGTATTCATTATAAAAGGTAGAGATTAGCCCTACCGATTTCGACAAACTATTTGAAATTTGCTTTGTGCAATCAACGTGTGTGTGTTCCGTGACAGCTGTTTATTTTATTTGTTTATTTGTCCAGTGTTGAAAGTTCGAAAATTTAAAATGGTTCGCACAATAACGCAGAAATATTTTCATTTTCTGCACAGGTGACACGACTGGTCCATGTGGTTCGAGATACGCGCCAAGAAAGTGGTCAATGAACCACACAACATTATCCTCCTCAAATTTAAATAAGGTTTTAAAACCTGATTGTCGTGGTGTACGTCTTGGTTTGTACTATTTTCTTTTATGTAAATGCACCATATCAACCATAACAAGCACAACACTGAGACCACACAACTAAAGATTACTTATTCAAGTCCTTTTAGATAGATCTTAACACAAAACTTACCTACAAATACATAAATTTTTACGTTACAAGCTGTGTGATGCCTGGACAGCTACCGAAAAGTTGAAAAGAGCGAGAAAAGTTGTTATGAACCTAGATTCCTTTTTTTAGAAGTAAATCCTTTAGTTTTTAAGCAGATGCTTCTTTTTATAAATACAAATTAAGTAAAACCTTTTACTTTAAAGCAAACTATCGAAGCAAAACCTTTTCCTTTGCTTTTTTTATGCATATACCTTTAAGGAATCGCTTCAATTTTTGGAATCAAAAGGTAATGCTTTTTATAAATACCACATAATATCTCACCACCTTTAAATTAAGAATAATTATTATCGTATACCTTTCGGGAGTCGTTGAAATGTTCCTTTAAGTGCCATTAGCTTTTTGTATCACATAATACATATAGGTGTGTTATATTTATGTATTATGTAAGGTATTATTAGGGTAGAAATACTTACTTTCCGGGATCAACGTGAAACTTATTGCCATGAACGTTGTGATATATGGCTGCGATAGACCACGCTACGCCGATGCCAAGGAACACATTAACTGCGTTACTTCCTGTAACGTTGCCAATACTAGCATCAGCGTGTTGATCCTGGATCGCTGCAACTTTACTGGCAAAAGTGTCTGAAATAATAAAAGAAATTCGATACACTATAATTGTTATGTGGGCATATTTAACAGTAAATCTTCATGATTATTGAATGGTTGCATTGTTGCATTAGTCCTTGTTAAGGATTAAAATTGCGATTTCATTTTCCTTAGAAAGGATTTAAAAATAATCAAGGCCTCATGTTTACCTTTACCGGTTTTCGTTTCTCTAGGTCCTAAAAATGAATTATTTTCAATATTTTACACAATGATTTTTGTTTGTTTATTAAAACAACGCAAATTCTTCTGCAGTTTGCTTTGACTAACCTTATCTAATTTTTGTTTCAGGTAATTTGATTGGAACAAACGAACGTTATTATACTTCATCGTCTTCATTACATAGGGTAAGTGACCTAAACTTGCATTTATTATTCAAACGTTATGTATGTTGACCATAATTTACAACGTATTTTTTAAAAAGTTTTTAATGTTTGAAATTGCCTCAGATAATTAATTAATCTTTCGTGGTAAGTACTAAATGCTAAAAACGTGATGTGAAAAATTACATTTACACTTTTGGTGAGACCTTGTTTCTTGTTGATGTTAACTGACAGAAACAGGGTTGATTTTGAAAGCAATTACTTTATCTAATAATTAGCAAACGTCCTTCAATAAGAAATCCTTCGGCAATTATTGAAAAATCAATGTCCATATTGGCTGAGTGGTGAAGGCCGAGTCGTAAATTGACCTTTAATCCACTTGATGCTATTACTGATGCACTTCTAAAAGCACCTGCTCCTAACATCTCTCCCCTTCTTTATTTCTAATTAAAAAGCATTTTGATGCTCAATTAACTTTAAGATACCAAGATAGTAAATGTTTACTTAAGATTATTAATTTTTTATTATCGTTTTTTATTTTTTAATCCAATTATATCTTGCACTAAGGTTATTGTGTAGTAAACTTTGTTTTTCAGTTGTTTAAATAATTTTCAACTTATTCTGGTATTCGAGGGTGTGTATTAAATTTCCCTACAATTTTTTGGTTATTTCGTTATTTGTAATTTATACCTACGTGTAATTATGTAATTTAGTGGTCTAAATAGGGGATGTCGTAGGGGCCGGAATTAGAATTACCGAACGTATAAATAAATACAAAGTTTGTCAGAAGAGCTCCTAGTGTGCGCTTAATTTTTATTACTTTAGTACTTTTTGACATAGAATGGGGTAGCACTGACCTAATTAGATACAGATAATTATCGAAAGTGATTAATTACTGTATTTTAAACATTTTCATTTATCTGTGAATCGATTCCATCCAAGTTAATTAGCTTACAATCAGTGTACATTAAAACTGCTAATTTATAACCCTGCACCAACGTTTATTGTACATAGGCATAGATAAGGCAAGATAATTTTAATTTACTGTGTATAGAAGAAGTAATTACTAAGATCAACTTGTACTAAGAACTTATTTAATTTTGTGAACAACTAAAAGAGGTTTATTTCTCAAATTAACACCAACATTTGGCCTTTTCGGACAAAGGCTTTATTGAGGTAGACTTTTGAGTCTATAATTCATTTTTTACGGATGGTGTTGGATATGAAAATGGTGAATTATAATATAAATTGAATTATTAACAAATAATGATGATCGATTAGAATAAACATACCTATGCTTTAACATGATGTGTCCAATAGTCCAATGCTAACCCGATTTAATTAATTACTAAGTAATCGTACTATACATTACCTGGTATGCTTGTGCCTAAGGCAACGAAACATATTGCTGTAACTCCATCTAAAATGCCCAACGTGGCGCCGAAATGTGATGCAACATCACCTATGACAGCTGTTACAACACCAATGCAAAATATTGAAATCACGAAGCACAGGTAGCCTCGAAACAGATCTGAAATAAAGGGAAAATGGAATCATTGTTTTAAGTGAAAAACAGTCTAATGAATTGATAAAGAACATTAAATTCTCGTTTATCGGAACTGCCATCATATGATATAGCAGAGTTAAATCGTCTTCAACAAAAAGAAGCGCGAACGATTAATTTAGAAATTCGTGAAGGATTGTTAAAGGTAGATATGTCTGGAGGGCGACGCTGTACGGGTGCGAAACTTGGACGGTGAGAGCGGCGGAAAAAAAAGGTTAGAAACGTTCGAAATGTACTGTTATAGACGAATGATGAGGATACCGTGAATAGAGAAGGTATTAGAAAGTATATGAGAACAGATGTCGCTTTGGAAGTCAATAAGAAATAGGTGAGATAGGCTGGTAGGACACCTTCTCAGACTTGAAGGGCTAGTTAGAAACATATTAGAAAAGTAGTTAAGAGAAGTAGAGGTAGACGCAGATTAGATTACTGTTCACAAATAGTTAGGGTTGTGGGATGTTCTAGTTTCAGGGAATTGCAAAGATTAGCTCAGAATAGAAAAAAATGGAGATGTGTGTCTAACCAGACTGACGACATTGTGATAATGATGATAACCAGATGTGGAACCAAGGAATGAATATGTATTTTGTCCATTTTCTAACTATGCATAAACTACCTTGTTTCATTTGTTTCATCTATGATTAAAACAGTAGTACCTACAGCAATGTTGATAAAATATGTCAAGGTTGAAAATAAACTAAAGGACTGAGTAGGGTGGAGACAAGTATGGGTATATAGTTAATAAGGGCTTCATGTTTTTCATTGACATGATTAACTAGTGCTAATTCGAAACCCATATTTCATGTTATTTTGGTTGACACTTCCTTGTTGAAAGTTTACGTCTGAAGGGAAACTGTTTAATACGATTCCGAACATGAAGTACCAATTACTTTGTTCACTATCTAAAATTTATAAGGATTCTCATCTCATCGTTATTGGCATACTACCACGTAAGATGGAATGCAATCTTCTGCTATAAATTCACCTTACAAGGTAAGTTTCATGAATTTCAATAAGTCTTCAAACCGAAAGCTTTGAAACTGTTTTCAGACATCTTCACATTATTCATTCGGATACTCGAAATCGTTGGAATTAACAAGTATAATTTTGTTTATCGTATATTCCCGAAGAATGCTCTCAAAATCGGTAGTAACTTATTATAGCACTAATTTAATAAACTTTTCATCAACAGAGTGTTTCGAAATAGTTCATATCTTTTCTATAGTATACAGTAAAAATCCGCTTATAATGATATCGAAAAAGAAAAAGAACGATGAACTGTATTATCAATATACATAAGAAGGGTCAGAAAGATGAGCGAAAAAAACCGAATCGTTAATTTCTATTAGACACTCACCTGTAGGGGGAACAAAAGCAAAAATAATCTTCCAAAAGAGGGTGAGAGAATGCATAAAATAATCAAAACAGGACGGAGCTTTAGCTTCATCTTCGTCGCTTGGACTAACAGTAACGGCTTCTATGAATTGTTCTTTCCATGACGACGTGCCGATTAGTAAAGAGGCGTTTGCTCGTTGAACTAATTTATCTACGGTATTCTAAAACAAGAAACATCATTTATAAACAAATCATGTGTCATATAGATGTAAATGGAAACTTCTAATTGTGAGATAGAAAAATGAGAAAATTTAAAATGTTCATTATAGCTCATGGTCGTCTATTGAAATCGTATTGTCTTAAATGTATTTTGTGTTCAGTTAATGATTGCAACCTCCTGCTTTATTTCCCAGAAGGAAAAATTATGGTAATGTGTTCTTGTTTCTTTAGAAGTATAATTTATATCGCTACTCGTCTCCTTTATCCTTGAATATTCGTTGCTTTAATTAATTCTTGGCCCCGAGGAACTGTGACTGTCAGACAATTTAAGATACGTATATTTTTTATGCCCTCCTAAAAAAGAATTAGATCTTCCTTTTAAAGGGCTCCGCAATTACTGAATTTCCGTTTTCGTTTCTTTTTTTTTGTTCGGTTTATGCAAACGAGTGCTTACCTTGAATTCTTTACTCTCTTTTATCCTAATCTGGGCCCTCGTGATTTCTCCTAGCTGTGGTTTTCCCATGATGGCAATCTTTTCCTGGTCCGTTCTCTCCTCCGGTCTTTTCTTTTCCGCCTCCGCCGCTAGACTAGCTATCTCGTCATCTGGTAACAGAAATTAAACTTCAACTTTCACAGTTTAAAGTTTAGAAATGAAACCAAAGGCTGCTCCTAAAGGAAAGTTCAAGCAAAAACACCTGCAGTATAAGTAAGCATTAAGAAATCTAATACAATAAAGCTCACTATTCAGGGATGTAGGTGCAAAAGCTGCTACTAATAAAACAAAAAAAGTAAAGAAGAGTTACCTTACGTAATATAAAGAAACTTTTGCTAAACGCTTATTTATGTAGACCCGGATGTAGTAAAATTTTTACATCTTTCAGAATAAAATGGATAAGAACGAATCTTAACTAATATTATAAATGCGAAATTTGTTTGCTATCATTTTACGCCTTAACTACTTAACTGATATTTATGAAATTTTGTACACATGTTAAGACCGAAAACGCTCAGTGGCCGGAAAAAACAGCCACATCGCGTTCTGACTGCCTTCGAACGCTCAGAACGCGTTTTGACTGTTTTTAAACGCTCGCAACGCGTTCTGGTAACTGTTAAACAGCCGGAACGCGTTTTGTCAATTGTTGAACGCTCACAATGCTCACAACGCGCCAGGAGTCTCGACAATATAAGTGTTCAGTGTAACTTTCTTCCTAGAACTGAAAAAGAATTATAAGAAATTTAATAGATATTGTTGAAATGATTCGGCGAGAAAAACCGAACCCATCTTTGGTATCCAATTATAGTTGTCAATAATTGAATTGTTTCCTAAAAACTGATAAATGGATTGAAATTCATTTGTTTTATAAGTACCTACAATATAAATCTCATTGTACGCAGGTAGAAAGCGGCAAATAATACAAGTCGAACATTAAGAACACGTTGTGAGCGTTCAACAATTGACAAAACGCGTTCCGGCTGTTTAACAGTTACCAGAACGCGTTGCGAGCGTTTAAAAACAGCCAAAAAGCGTTCTGTGCGTTCGAAGGCAGCCAGAACGCGCTGTGGCCGTTTTTTCCGGCCACTGGGCGTTTTTGGTCTTCGGGCCTAACACACACATTATGAGGGCTACAGAAAACGACATAGGGTACCAATTATCCAGAGAAAGTACTGTTCCCGAGGGAAATAAAGCTTAGTTCTACATGGTCGTCGATGTTCTTTGACACGAATTGAGGAGATCAACGCGAGCGAAGCCGCAGGTAATATTTATCACGAAATTTTGTTGACATTGTCAGGGGTACAAAAAATTACATAGGGTACATTTTGTCCAGAAAGAAAGTACTGTTCCCCAGTTGACCCTGTTTTTTTTGCGATGCTTAAAAGTTGTTGTATCTGTAAAAATTTATTGCAATGTATTTATCAATTAGTACGTGAGTACATTTTATTACAACCCCTTTTCAATTTGCATATGTACGATATGGCACATTTTTTTGGTATAAGAGAGGAAATTGCTAATAATGTTTTTACAACAAATAACTTCTATCAGATTGCATGTTTTGTTTTAATTATTTTCTTTATAGTTGCTAAACGTAAAAAATAATTAGTTCGTTCTTGTTCGATTTTAATACATGCTTACCTGCATACCATAAGAAATAATTATTATTAATATTCCAAGCAGTAGTTATACCATTGTCATAAAATATATAGTTATAAGGGTTTACGTATCCATTAAAAAGTCATGAATTGCTATGTGTCTACCCTTTCTGCGATCTTATCAGCTTCAAGTCATATTATGCCAAGTATTAGTTTTACTGACACGTCACGACGCAACTAAGAAACATAAATTGGAAATAACGGTGTTCATAAAAGAAAATTGCGGAGCCGAGAAGCTACAAATTGCTTGCGTGAACGTTGATCCTTATTTCTAGGCATGATATTACCTATCATCAAGTTTAACATGAAAAGGTTAAACATTTCTGATCAACACAAGTTACCTATATCAATCACAGAAAATACCAATTGGAAGTGCGAAAAGCAAGGTTTTCAGTTCCGGCGCATATTTCTATGCATTTGGAACAGCACTCACCATGATTACTAATATCTTTTTGTACAAACAGTAAAACAAAACTACTGGTATTCAAGAGAAGAAAAAGTAGAGAAAGAAGACGAAAAATTAGTAGCTGATGTTTGAAATCTAGGAAGTCATAGAAGGAGTTGTAGAGATATAAAAATAGGATAGCGAAGGGTCACGTCAGCTTCAACAGAAAGAAATCACTTCTATGTTCGCGAACGGTTAATTTAGAAATTCGGTACTACAGATAAATGATAAGGATATCTTGGAAAGAGATGGTTAGTAATAAGGAGGTATTAGAAAGAATGGGAGAACAGACGTTAATAAGAAATTGGCAGGGTAGGTAGGGAAGACACCTTCTCAGGCATGAAGGGCTAGTTAGAGACATATTAAACGCAGAAACAGGAGTTAAGAGGAGACATATATTAGATTACTGTTCACAAATAGTTAAAGATGTGGGATATTCTATTTTTAGGGAAATGCGAAGATTAGCTCAGGATAGGGAAACCTCGAGGTGCACGTCCAACGAGCCTTAGGACTGACGAGCTTATGATGATGATGATTGACTAAGAGAAATCGTAACTAATAAAAATGAAATTTAGAATATATTAACGACGTTAATGGAAACTTTTTAACATTTAATAGATTCCTGCTTGAGTAGAATCTTAGCTTCGGTTATATTTAAAATAAACAACTGTAATGTAATATGTGAAAATGACTGGATCGATGTTGCTTTTGAAGTGAAGTATTTATAAAGTTTAATATTACTGAAACTACTTCTTCTTGAACTAAGTTACAATATATATAAACTTGAAAACTATCTAAAATTACTTCCAAAATTAACTGGCTTCTTGAATTCAAATTTAACGCTGCCATGAAGTCGTCCGGCACACTAAATGGCTGAAAGTGTAACTTACGACTAGAAGTAAGATGTCCTTGCATCAATAAATAGCAACTTTCAGTGTACTTTTTACACGTCAGCTAACAAAAGTTTTAGAGGAAGTAATAGCGCCTAGGGAAATTTCGTCCCTTTCTAAGGAGCGGTTGTGTTAAGTCCATTAACGTTGATAGTTTTCCGGAGTTAAACTGAATTAACTTACGAGTTGCAATAGTTTACGTACTCCGATACTTGACTTTTACATGAATAATGCATCTAACTTGTGGAAAGCATCCCTGTTTAATTTTGGTTGCAGTGAATTATATACGTGTATACATATACTACGTACAGGTATACACACATGGTTTATCCTCAACTCATTTACTTTCACTTATTTTTACATTTATTTGGAGTTACAGTGTAAACTTTTTATAACGTTACTCGATTCAACGACAAACTCCTTAAAACGTCGAAATTGCTTGACTTTGGTTGGTTTACATTGTTTTCTGTACAATATTACACTCTATATAGCGTCACGTTCACTCTATTTAACGACAACAATGCGGCATTATAAATCATTGAGCAGTACTTTCTAAGTTGCCGAAATAGATAAGAACTGCAGCTGTGTACGTTGTTGAAGAAGACGATCCTGTCCCTCCACCAAGCATCAAACAAGCACTTGATGCAGCGAAACTATTAAAAAAATACTTTTTATATAATCAAATTGATCCAGCAGTATCTCAAGATATGAGTAAGATACGTAACAAAATACAATTAAAATATTGGAGCAGCAAAAAACATCAGACGAAGATAACAGGCTATACGCAATGTATGAATAATAATGTTCGTGTGCAAAATGTGTACTATATTGGTAAATGCATATTATTATAGAATAGTAAAATAATATCTTTTATTTCTCTCCATTTAACGACCACTCTTTATAACGCCGAAAAATGTTCAGTCCCTTAAGTGTCGTTATATAGAATTTACACTGTATTTCTGAGGGTATTTGTAAAGAAAAATACGGCTTTTGGCATAGTAAAAGATAAATGTATAATAAATTATCCTATATACATTTTTAAAATATGTATATCTAATAAAACAATTCGAAGTGGGCTGGCGAAACTGCCGTACGCGGATCGCAATTTCGATCTTTTTGGATCTTTTACCCGCTGCCTTAACAGCGCGTTTTAGAAAATACGACAAATGGCGCTGTAAACGCCATCTGTATCTGATGAGATCCAAAAAGATCGAAATCGCGATCCGCGTCTGACAGTTTCGACAGAATACAGACCACTTCGAATTATTTTATTCGATTATGGTAACGTGCCTACCACGTTGAGGTGAGCTACGCCTATATTCGTTTCAGGAAGTAGATATCCATATATTTAAATGGACCTTGCTGAACCATACGTAATCCTAAAATGTAGTACTGTACTACAGATGGCGTTTACAGCGCCATTTGTCGTATTTTCTATATGTATATCTATACAAGCATGCGCTGAAAACTTTTAGAAAACTTTTAATAAGACAATAATAACCAACAGTCGAAAAAAATAAAGAAACATTACTAAAATGACAGAATAACGCAATCTTTTGTAAACAGCTGTTGAATATGTTTGTAAGTAACTGCAAAATTCTTTCAAGCTTAAAATTCGCATTTGCTATTGCACCAAAAGCTCAAAATATGTAAGTTATAGCAAACAGTTAGATGCGGAAAGCTTCAAAGCAAAATCCAATAGTACAACCGTACACGTACAAAGGGTTCAATTACTTACTCGACATGCACAGTGCAGCATGAGAGGAGGAAGAATAATAAGAAGAGAAGAAGAGAAGATGCAGACAGGTAATATGAAAAAGATTAAAAAAAGTAAAAGTTACGAGGGAATTTTCCAACGATACAATACTTACATCAACATTATCCTACATACGAGGTGGTCTTGATAATTTTCTCAAAAATCAATACAATCAATAAACATCGGCAAAAAAATAAAAATCTTTCGTATTTACCAAAAGCTGATTTCATATTCTTTTGCTTTCTATTTTGGTTTCCGTCTCAAAAAGTTACCATACTACAATTTATTCTCAACAACACATTTTCAATTTTAAGAATTTATCACTACCACCTCGTATCTCTACGGTTAGCAAAAATCAGCAGACATTTTTTATCTCTCTCATTTACTCACTAAATAAACCTTGATCCACTCATAAGATAAAGACAAAAGTTATTATTTCAGTAGCTTTTCTGATATTAATCTATTACTAATAATTTGTGAATTATATTATTTTGTATCTCTAAATTTAATTGTAAAAGGTACTTACTACTAGTGCAGTACGGTGTGTAACTGAAATACGAGGGTGGATTGATAAGTTTCCGGCCTAACCAAGAGATGACGCCACTAGGCCTACCTTGAGGTGACATTCTATAGTACCATCCTTGGATAGCTTGTAGCTATAGTTTCAGCCCGATCTCCTTGCTAGTGTAGGTTTGACAGCACGCTGAACAAGACGCCTCTGTGGTTTTCGTAAAAATGGAAAAGCAGGAAAATCGTGCTGTCATCAAATACTTTTATTTGAAGGGGTTAACGCCGAAGGAAATTAAAAAAGAGATGGACTCAACACTGGGGACATCCTCCCCGTCATATTCAACCGTTAAGCAGTGGGTTTCCGAGTTTAAAAAGGGTCGTGTGAGCACCTCTGATGGGCCTCGCTCAGGACGCCCCGTTGAGGTCACAACTCCAGATATGATCGAAAAAATTCATCAAATAGTGCTGGGAGACCGCAGATTGAAAGTGCGTGAGATAGCTGAGACCTGTAAGATGTCATATGAACGTGTGCAACATATTTTGCACCAACATTTGCATATGGAAAAGCTCTGTGCAAGATGGGTGCCGCGTTTGCTAACAGTCGACCAAAAATTGATTCGAAAAAACATTTCTACCGCAAATTTGTCATTGTATAAGCGTAATCCAAGCGAATTTTTGCGTCGATTCGTAACCGTTGACGAAACGTGGGTCCACCACTACACTCCTGAAACCAAAGAACAGTCTAAACAGTGGATTGGACCAGGGGAACCAACTCCAAAGAAGGCAAAAACAATTTTTTCGGCGAACAAGGTTATGGCTACTGTTTTTTGGAATGCAAGAGGTATTATATACATTGATTACCTTGCAAAGGGTAATACTATCACTGGTCAATACTACGCAGACTTATTGCAACGTTTGAGCCACGAGGTGAAAATTAAACGACCTCATCTGGCGAAGAAAAAAATCTTGTTTCATCACGATAACGCACCAGCGCACACGTCAATCGTTGCGACGGCTAAAATCAACGATCTAAAGTTTGAATTGATGCCGCACCCTCCTTACTCTCCAGACCTAGCCCCGAGTGACTATTTTCTGTTCCCTAATCTCAAAAAATGGCTTGGCGGTAAGAGATTTGCGGACAATGAAGAAGTAATCGAAGCTGTAAATGGTTATTTTGAGGAGCTTGACGAATCAGTCTATAGAGATGGCATTAATAGACTGGAACACCGCTATGAGAAATGTATCAGCCTTGGAGGAGATTATGTTGAGAAATAAAAAAAAAAAATTTTTAAAAACCTTGTTTTTCTTGGTCAGGCCGGAAACTTATCAATCCACCCTCGTAAGTGCGTATCTTGCAACAGCTGATAGGACACTACAATACATGAAAATTAAAGTCCCAATGTTCACTGTTTAAAAAAAAACGTATTTGAAGGTACAGAAAAGGGCCAGTCCGGCTCTGGTAAATCATACTGAAAAATACGATAACCCAACGCCGCATTCGATCATCTGGTAATAAGCGGCATCAGGCATTGGCAATAAGTCAGTGTATTCTAATTTGGAACAATTTTTACAGTGTACATATGTGTACGACAACTAACATTGCTTACTTTCCATTCCATCAATATGTAGTTGCTCAATCCTTACCGCAATTTGTTGTGTTACACCCATGTTGCTCGGATTGTAATTTCTTGCGGTTTTTTTACAATTTTTTTCCTTAACTATGTATACTCACCATGCGATTCCAGGTTTACACTGTCTGTAGTTCCGTATAATAACATTTAATGCATTCACTAGTCAGGTAATGTTATTCATTTAGAACTGACAATTGATTGATAAATAAAAAAGATAAATCAATAAACTTGTTGATTTTTGCTAACATTATTTACTTATTATGTTATAACATGTTATTAGAGATCTTACCCCCGGACATCTGCGGCTCACCCAATTGTACATAAAACAGTACATCCTTTTCGTAACTGTCTTCTTCTATAATAGTCAATAGAATAGATTTCCTGCAACAAGAATGGCATATTTAATATCTAATTGTATGATAAAATAATAGTCTCATAAATATGTATGAAAATCATAATTTTTTCTGTTTATAAGACTAGAACCGTAAAGGTGTATGTTTGGAGCGCGGCGCTGTGCGGGTGCGAAACATGGATAGTGGGCGCGGCGGAAAAGAAAATGTTAGATGCATTCAAAATGTCGTGTTACAGTCGAATGATGAGGATACCGTGGACAGAGAAGGTTAGAAATGATGAGGTATTAGAAAGAATAGGAGAAACGAGAATTCTGTGGAAGTCAATAAGAAATAGGCGAGATAGGTTGGTAGGAGCACATTCTCATGCATGAAGGGTTAGTCAGACACATGCTAAAGACAGAAACAGGAGTTAAGAGGAGTAGAGATAGACTCAGATTAGAGTACTGTTCGCAAATAGTTAAGGATGAAGGATATTCTAGTTTTAGGAAAACGCGAAGATTAGCTGAGGATAGGAAAAATGTGTGTGTGACTGTGGTAAAAGGTCAATTAGTACTGTCATCCGCTATTTACTGAGTTTTCAAAAAGATACAACCCCTGAAGGTTAACAATACATAAAATTGTACTAGAAAATTCGTAACAATAACTGATATCTACATCAGTTATGTTGCAATCCTTGAATGAGATTTAAACAAGTTTGCTAAGTGAATACTTCAAAAAAAGTAGCATAAGAAACCACCAACCCGAAACTATCAAATTTAACTATTTATGTAGCGAATTTTTTGAGCTTTATACGTTCCTGCATCCTGTTGGCACTATTTTCTGGAACATCCTGTACAAAGATCTATAATATAATGTTCTTTTGATGAAGATGTTTTGTTGATGTTACGCTATCGCGAAACTAGAGAAAATCGAATTCTTCGGTCGTGCAATTCTATTATTCTGGGAGTAATTGCGGTGGGTTGTCTGGGAACGTGCTTTGCTATCCCAGACGAGTTGGACCTCGTTGAACAAACTTAATTCAGTGGTAATACAGTCAAAACGTAGAACAGAGTATGCCGAGAATGCCACTAATTTTCATTCTTGTTTCACTAATGGAAATAACAAAACGTATGTTCTTTCTTGGAAATCTGTCGTTTTAATGGAAACTTTTATGGAAATTAATACAAGTTTATAGTTACAGGGATATATATCGTTTTTACATATTTGTTGACAAACAGACCAAGTTTCTTTGTATTCAATTCTCTCAGAATCAGAAATACAATGAATGTTAATTTAATATAATATAATTTATGTTATTTTTGCAAATAGTCCAATTTAATAAACCCTTTTTTATCTATTACGAAAAGACAAAATTTACATATTTAGCAAGAAAGCCTGGTAATGCGGCAATTTACTTAACAAATGTTATATCAAATGAGAAACGAAGTTCATGAAAAACCTGCCTAAAGTTGCTCTAGGCGAGGATGAAATGCCCGTATATTACGTTACGTCTAGATAAAACAAGGATAATCTAGTTTAGTGGAAGACCGTGAGGGTACTAGCTAGCCATAATAATTCATCCCTTATCATCTCATGGATATTAAGAAGTGGTCCAAATAAACAACTTCACCAGTTTACAGAAAGATAACAAAACGTCCCACTGTTTTTAGAAATATCGCCTTTACCATAATCAGGTTGTAGGTATTCAAAAAAAAAAGAGAATCGTATAATTTTTAGTTCATAGCTTTGATTTATAATTTTCTGTATCAGTTATTACCATACGAATTACTGAAAGCATCAATCTCATCCTCATAGTATACAAACACGTTACAAAGAAAAAATTATTTTGCTAAATAACGAACAGCCTGAACTTTAAAAAAAACACACTTCCTTAGTTTATAATGAAGGCATAATCAAAGTGATTTGGTCAAGAGGGCTAATCAACCTTGTTAAAATGAATCCCACTCCTGTAATTTTTTTTTATAATTTTGACAATGTCATGTACAAAAAAGAAAAGTCCTGTATTTTTTATTCCATCTAGTCTGTTAATGGTCTTATGAAAGACTTTCCATGGTGCCTACTGTAACTTAAACAAATTATGTTATTAGGTACTTATTGTTCTTGCTGCAGTTACCCAAAAATTAAACGAGAAATTCTTTACTTCTGGTTTTTGCAAAGCAGAATTGTAAGAATAGGACCTATTGTATACATCAAATATATACATATATAAATTCATTACAATTTTTTTTTTTTGAGAAAACCATTCTTTTGATAAAGACCTTCTATTTGACCTACATTTATCTCATATCTGTTAACATTACGATTAACATCTGACGATATCGTTGTTGATACAAATCTTGGAATGTAAACTAACCATACACATACACAATCATGTAATAAACTTACAGGAGAAAGGAGATGATCAGTCTCTTTTCGAACGTCTCTAGTTACGGTTTATAAGGTCGTGTATTCGTCAGATCTCGTCTTATCATTGTATATACCTAATAAAAACTGTATCGTAAAGTCAGCGACAGTTAAAAAAAAATGTGAAGAATCTCTACAATTATTAAGGTTTGTAATTTTTAGTTACTTTGAAGTTACTATTATTGTACACAGTGTTTGTTTTAAATATTTACAATAAATTACGCTCCAGTCTTCGCAATCTCTAAAATAAAGCAATATTTTGTTCGCAAAATATTGCAAACAAATGTAGGGTAGAATCATGAGGCAGAAAATATTGGCAGATCACAGGGCCCTTATTGGTTTCCTTTGGAAACCCTTTTATCAAAAATAGTGCGCTGAAGCAAAATTTTGCATAGAATCCACTAGCGTAAATAGATTTGCCTTAAAGATTATATCTTTTAAGAAAACATTTTCTCATGTCTCATATTATTCTCAAAATTTGATAACTCTGTAATAACTTTGAGAATGTTATATAGGTTTATTTACTATATACTCTTAATTTAGTGTTTTGGTAAGGATTCAAAGAGTTCAAAATACAGAACTTTCCAAGCCCATATTAGTAGAAAGGTAGTAACAATTACGATAATGGTATGAATACAATACATTGTTCGTAATCTCTCAATAATATCTAATCTGAAGTAAATCTTGAAATCTTGAGCCATTATGTTACTGTTTCTTTGTGGTAGAGGGATTTGTCTACAGGACGATTTTCCGAACTTAAATTTAAAATGCTCAATTTTGCTAGTCTTTTGCAGAAAAATTTCATAAGAATCATTCTTGTAAATATCCACGAAGAAAAGATATCAACATTTGATTGATTTAAATACGTAAACAATTTCAACCTTGCACCATCCAAATTTTGAAACATAAAAGCTCATTCCAATCCCAGAGGGATTTCAGAAGCATCCGAAATTTAATGGTTAAATAAGCATTAGTTAATTATTGAACCAGTACATAGTGAAGGTAAGAAGCCTCACTCAAATATAAATATAAATATTATAACGACTGATATATAAACAAAATTCTGTAGAAAAAAAAAGACTCGGACCAGAGAAGCATCCTCATTTTCTCTTAAAGAATCTGAGTAAGACACAAGTTGGTGGTTTTATTTATTGCTTTAAAATATCTTCCGTTTCAGGCTTGTCTATGTTTGAAGTTTCTAAGATTTCTAAATGATATTCATGTATGTACGAGGGTGGATTGATAAGTTTCCGGCCTGACCAAGAAAAACAAGGTTTTTAAAAATTTTTTTTTTTTATTTCTCAACATAATCTCCTCCAAGGCTGATACATTTCTCATAGCGGTGTTCCAGTCTATTAATGCCATCTCTATAGACTGATTCGTCAAGCTCCTCAAAATAACCATTTACAGCTTCGATTACTTCTTCATTGTCCGCAAATCTCTTACCGCCAAGCCATTTTTTGAGATTAGGGAACAGAAAATAGTCACTCGGGGCTAGGTCTGGAGAGTAAGGAGGGTGCGGCATCAATTCAAACTTTAGATCGTTGATTTTAGCCGTCGCAACGATTGACGTGTGCGCTGGTGCGTTATCGTGATGAAACAAGATTTTTTTCTTCGCCAGATGAGGTCGTTTAATTTTCACCTCGTGGCTCAAACGTTGCAATAAGTCTGCGTAGTATTGACCAGTGATAGTATTACCCTTTGCAAGGTAATCAATGTATATAATACCTCTTGCATTCCAAAAAACAGTAGCCATAACCTTGTTCGCCGAAAAAATTGTTTTTGCCTTCTTTGGAGTTGGTTCCCCTGGTCCAATCCACTGTTTAGACTGTTCTTTGGTTTCAGGAGTGTAGTGGTGGACCCACGTTTCGTCAACGGTTACGAATCGACGCAAAAATTCGCTTAGATTACGCTTATACAATGACAAATTTGCGGTAGAAATGTTTTTTCGAATCAATTTTTGGTCGACTGTTAGCAAACGCGGCACCCATCTTGCACAGAGCTTTTCCATATGCAAATGTTGGTGCAAAATATGTTGCACACGTTCATATGACATCTTACAGGTCTCAGCTATCTCACGCACTTTCAATCTGCGGTCTCCCAGCACTATTTGATGAATTTTTTCGATCATATCTGGAGTTGTGACCTCAACGGGGCGTCCTGAGCGAGGCCCATCAGAGGTGCTCACACGACCCTTTTTAAACTCGGAAACCCACTGCTTAACGGTTGAATATGACGGGGAGGATGTCCCCAGTGTTGAGTCCATCTCTTTTTTAATTTCCTTCGGCGTTAACCCCTTCAAATAAAAGTATTTGATGACAGCACGATTTTCCTGCTTTTCCATTTTTACGAAAACCACAGAGGCGTCTTGTTCAGCGTGCTGTCAAACCTACACTAGCAAGGAGATCGGGCTGAAACTATAGCTACAAGCTATCCAAGGATGGTACTATAGAATGTCACCTCAAGGTAGGCCTAGTGGCGTCATCTCTTGGTTAGGCCGGAAACTTATCAATCCACCCTCGTATATGCGGTAAAAAAATGAATAAGTCGATCTTATCTCTAGATCATCATTGTCACTCATCTTAAAATCATATCGTCGTTGGCCAGGAGACTTATGACTTAATT